GCTTTATTAAGCCTCCTAACAAATAATTACATCGAGCATGTTCACAAACATATTTAGTGATTTTTTTTTTAAATATCAAACAAGCACATTCATGAACATATCTAACGAGTATTCTTGAGATATCAAATGAGCATGTTCACTAACATATATAACTAGTTTTTTTGAGCTGCCAAATGAGCTCGTTCACAAACAAGTGATGTATGATTCATCTTATATTTATTTATGAATATTTTGAACAAGCAATAAAGAAAACATGGTCAAATGTGAAATGTCTCTTGTACATGAATCAAACACAAATTGAGCTTTTACCGAGCCTAATATCAAGTTTAATCACGAGTTTTAAATGATGTCATTCATAAACATAAATTAGCTAAACACATTAGTGTTCAAGCTTATTTATTTAAGGATTGAGTATTTAAAATATTGTTCAAGTTTATTTGTTTAGTTAATTAAACTATTACAAACGAGCTTTAATCAAATCAAACAATGAGTAGCTCATCGAACATTTGGTTCGCTTGCAGTCCTAGGCCCGATCCCACTATTGAAATTAAGAGTAACAATATTAATCATCAAGGGACATACAACTTCCCTTCATCCTTTGCCATCCCTTGGCAATATCACTATATCATTCATCTTTCTTCTTTTCAAGGAGGAAGATCTATCCTCCCTTTGAACTTCTTAGGGATTTTTCGAAAAAGACATAAAAGCATTGGGACTTTCTTCATAAGCTTTCTTAATTTTTTTCAATTTAACTACATGATAACTTCCAGCCTCAATGAATAAACCAACCTAAAAAGATTTCTCCTTAACTACATACTGGCTAATATAGTGTAGCACCTACAAATGACTATTCATATCAAGAAAATTTAGGATTTTCAATATCCCACCTCTTATATAAGGTAAGTTTGGCAGCTCCTTAACCTCTCTCATCTTTCAAAAAGGTCTCACTCATTCTTCATAATAAAGAACAACAAGACCAATTTTTAAAAGGGTCATGCGTTAAAAACTTTGACCATTTTTTACTAGCCCAACATGAAATGCACGCTTGAGAATCACTTGTGAATATACACATCTTTGATAAATGCTCAACAATCAACAATGCCCTATGCTCCCCAAAGAAAAATTTCAACCCCATAATAATCATAACAGCTATGCACAAAAATTCAATCAACGTGACATGGCACGCTTTGAAGATCCTGACTAACCTAAGTTCTTGAGGGAACCTTAGCTTAGATCAAAATGTCATCTTGTACCTTATAATGCACATGTGAGGTGGGTCCCATGCCTAGCTAGACCTTTTAGGGGCAACAATCACTCAGTTATTGGGCAAATAAATTTTTTAAGAATAACAACTAAGCCATATGAAGTAATAGAGAACACAACATCATCAATCGATGTTGACCTTCTATTTTCATCAACCTATAAGATCATGAGATGGTTTAATGATCCAATAAAAGAATGAAATTTTAATAAAGAAACCCTTTTTACCTTTGTAGTCTGAGGATTATGCTCTTGTTCCAACATGAAACAAGTAGTTTGGACAACTTCTGACATGTTTGTTGACCCACTGCTTGGAGAAGTATGCATAAATAAATAAGTGCTCGAATAATATTATAATCATTGTATTAAGACATTTTGAGGAAGAAATTTAATGTGGTATAACATAAGAAGGAGATGAAGAATTTATTAAGAGAAAGAATATACTTGGAGGATTTTTTGAGTTCTTCAAAAGTCATTTGCTTTTGGATAAATCTACACCACTTCCCTAGACACTACTCATGACACTTTCACTCTAGTTTAAAGAATCACCTTTAAAAGGAGAGAAATAGAGAATGTCTAAGAGGACCGGACTTTGATCGCTAACGATGGTATTTGACTCTTACTGGGCAATGTTTTCATCATTTTACGGGGGAAAATTGGAACTTGTGTAAGATGGTCGGACTTTGATAACCTCCAAATGTATTAAACTCTTTTCAACACTAAGATTGTGTAAGAGGATCAGACCTTAACCATCACTAATAGTATTTGACTTTTTATGGATCATTTTATGGGGGATAATTTGAGCTTGCGTAAGAAGAACAATCTTTAATCATCGCCAAAGATATTTAACACTTTTTTAATGACCATCTAATGTAGGGTACGGGACTTTGATCGTTGTTGATCGTATTCAACTTAGGGGTGTAAGTGAGCCGAGCTGGCTTGAGTTCAACTCGTTTATGGGCTATCGAGTTGAGCTTATCGAGCTCACGAGTTGAGCTCCAACTGAAACTAGAGCTCATTTAATAAACAAGCTCAAGTTCGAGCTAGATGAGCTCAGCTCATGAGCTCAAGAGCAGACTCAGATAATTATTAATATTTTAAAATAATTTTATTTTATTTATGAATTTTAAATATTTAAAAATTTTAAAAAAAATGCAAAACAAATTTCTTAAATTTAAATATTTTTAAACCGGGCTAAATTTAAAAATCTCACCGAGGGGATAAGCTCAAGATCAAACTCTTCTTTTGAGCTCGACTCGAGCTCGAGCTTAGTTTGAGCCGACTATATAACTAATGAGCTGAGCTTGATAACACCACTATTAGACTCGGATAGACTCGTTTAAACTCCTAATTCAACTCTTACTTGATCTTTATCACCCCCAGTGATATTCAACTCTTGTTGATAGGTACCCTATGTAAGAGAACTAGTCTTTGATCATTGCCAACGGCCTCCAAATTTTCATCGGTCTATTTTTCTCTCAATTTTTGAGAAATTTTTTTGGACAAGCTCAAGAAAAATATACTTTTTCCCCCAAGAAAAGTGAGGTATTTATAGATTTATGAAGGGGAGAATTTGAATTTTTTATTTTTTAATTTATTTATTTATTTCGATAAATTTTAAAGACCAAAATAATATTTTTTATTTTTCCAAAAAATTAGAAAGTACAAAAATTAAAAATAATAATAAATATTATTATTTCATTTTTCACAAGATCTTTTGGAATTTTTTAAATTTTCAAATTATTTAATAAATTATTTTTGTTTCTAAATTATTTAAGGAAATTACTTAAAAAGTAATTATTAAATATAAAAAAAGGGAGTGGAGCAGCATTGTAGTGCACCCATTACACGATCAAGTGAGCCTCTACAATTGAATTGAAAGCCAAAATTACCTTGATTAGCACAAATCTCAAGGCATATTTAAACTGAATTGTTCATAATTAAAACCATGATAATCTGAGCTTTGATCTCAACAACTTACGATCGAATTGATAGTCTCAATATAATGAACTCAACGACGTTAAAATCAATCTAATTCAAGACCAAATGGGCTAAAATTAGAGGCATAAAACATATTTAAATGTTGTAGAGCATTAATTGGACTACCAAATGACATCCAAATATAGCATATTTAGAATCAAATCAAGCGGCAAGATGAGACGAATCCAACAAGCCTAAGATAAATTAATTCTGACATCATTAAGGCATATAGATGTTGAATGAATGCTCATTGATCGAGGGAATAAATATGAGTCATCCAATGAAGCACTCGGGATTTGACCTAGATCTTCTTTATATATATATAGCATGTCACTCTTAAAATATGTAAATAGGTCTCCACTCCCTACATGAGGGAAACCTTTTGTCAGAGATTAGAGAGAGCTCCAAGGCTTAGAATATCCTAAAGCTCCACTTGATCACTAATCGCACCGGCCACCAATACCCACCAAATCTATTCCCAGCTACCAACAGCCGCTGGACCTTAGCACGACCGCCTACCATCACTGCTGGACCTCCACTTATCGTCTATTGTGGTCGGAACTCTGCCAAAAATTCACCCGATTGTTACCACCATACTTATAACCCCATTCGCTTGCCAACCATGGTCCTTAGACTGTTGTCACCCAACTACGGTCCTTTCACTACTACTAAATTAGGCTTTCACAACACTTTTTAAGACCTATTACAACGATTTAAATAACTACTTATTTATTTATAGCAGTTTAGAAAGTGCTACAAATCTGCGGCATTTCTCGGTGGTATCTTTCAATCAAAGAACAAAAGATAGCATAAAGAATTACCGTTTGAAATTGAAAGCATTGCTTGATTACAAGAGACAATATGACTAAGATCGAGGTTGTAGTGCTGGAAATTAGGAGATACCAAATAGGTGTTTTACAAATGAAATAGCAAGACTCACAGAGATACTTGAAAATTAAAATTACACCAATTTGATCTCTCATATGGTATCATCGCGAGATAACGATGACGAAGTTGCTGTATCAGTCGGCTAAGGCACAACATGAAAGGAGTAGATGATTTATGAGTGGCCTTGCTTAGCCGACGATTTGCAAATTGCTGCTACAAAATATTGAAGTAACTTCAAATTTTTTACTATGATTTAACAGCGGTTAAAACCCCCGTCTATATCTATTTATAGTGGCGGTTTTGAAATCACTCTTATAAACTGCTACAAAAACATTAACAATTTGGCAGTGTTTCAACCCCCTCGCTTGACCACCGTCATTTAAGCTCCTGGTCATCGGTACGAACTTCGACCGATTCCCCATACTATTGTAATTTTCATTGTTCTCAAGCTAAAGAGATGAGTCAACCTTTGTAACGTACTTAAATATAGAGAAATTTCTTGACATGGGAAAGGCCCTATAGTTTTTCCCTTTTCGGGTTTTCAACATTAAAAAATATTTGGTAGTCCTAGCTCTTGCAAATCATCTATTTGTGTATTGGATATTCATTCATCGCTAAGATAAATCTCTCTTTGAACCACCACGAATCTACCAGCCCATAAGAAGATGAATATGATATATAAAAAATTAATAAAAATTTATCTTACCCTTAGCTCATAATAAATTAAAAACTTCGATATAAAAATCTAAAAATTATTAGCTTTTTCTCTAAATAAATACCACAAATAAAAAATCATTCTAATTTTTTGTTAAAAATAAGTGGAATTTAAAAATAAGTTTTATAATTTTAAATATTTTTTCCCTATAAAAATATCCTCTCTCTTGCAAATCGGGCAAAAATCCCCAATCATGTTATCCAAGCTAGCCAAAAAGCTCAATGATTTTGACCCCGGCTTCCTCCCCGCGGCGGCCGGCGAATTCTTCTTCACCTTCCTCTTCGTCTTCATCACCGTCAGCGCCGCCATAGCCACAGGTACTTAATCATACACATCCCCTTTTATTTTCTTCTTTAATTAAGTCTCGATCCGAATTAAATAATTATAAACTTGATTAATTCAGCTAAGATGAGCGATGGGAAAGATAGCATCCCTGGATTAATAGTTTCGTCGGCGGCTAATACGCTGGCCGTGGCGGCGATTGTGTCGGCCGGATTTCAGATCTCCGGCGCTCATCTGAACCCAGTTGTGACACTTGTGATGGCTTTGGGTGGCCGTATAAGCCCGCTTCGACTGCTTTTCTATTTTGTTCTTCAGTTGTTGGCTTCTTCTCTTGCCTGCTTGGTTCTCCGATTCATCTCCGGTGGGATGGTCAGTTTTATTTATTTATTTATTTATTTATTTAGTTTTAGTTATTTAATTTTTAAGCTAAAGATCTTGCTCAAATCTGCCTGAAATAAATTACAAACAGCCCCTGAAAAGTGATCAAATAGATCTGAAATATTATGGATATGCTTTAAAATATGTGATTGATATTGCATTAATTTTAATATATGTTTAAAAAAAAAAGAATTTTGGGGATTTTAAATGATATTGTTATGAGAAATTTTATTTAAATTTTTTTTTTATGTATGATTTATTAAATCTCATCATTAAAATTTGAGAATTTCTTCATTTTATAAATTTTAATTTTAAAATAAAAATCAAAAGCAAGTTTTGTTGGCTATTTTGTTCTTCAGTTGTTGCAGCTTCTTTCGTTGCCTGTTTTTTTTTTCTTTGGTGGTATGGTGAGTTTCACTAATCTTTTTTTTCTTTTTTTTTTTTTTTTTATGAGTTCAGTTTAATCAGGCTATAGATTCTTTTCATAAATTTTTTTTGTAAAATTCTTGTCATCGATTGGCTTTTTTTAGGGCCTATTTAGTTGGGTGTTTTAGGTTCTAATTTAATAGAAATACTAAGTTTGGATTGTGAGTTACTGTGTATACTCATAATTCGGATATAAAATTATATCTGGACTCTGAATATAATAATTTCTAATTATGACAACTTTTAAGTTATTTTATTTTTCAAACATCAAAAATGATTTTATTTGGGTGTTATTTTTATGATTTTATTTTTTATAAAATAAACATATTTTTTTTGTCTATTTATTTTGCTTTGGAAAAATAAAGAACTTTTTTTTTATTAAAAAGTAATGAGGAATCGTCAAAAGAGAAAATCCGAAGAAAAGTTCCTCAATTATTAAATGTATGTCCCTATCATCAAATAAAAATAAATAAATTAAACATGTTGGATAAAATATTTTATTATTATTTATCATAAAATACACATGTATCTTAAAATGAAAATTCTAATGGAAGTAAAAAATAAAAATAAAAAAAATCCCGATCTAATAATAAATAATTATTTGGTATTCAGGAAATTCCTGTACATGCACTCGCATCAGGAGTAGGATCCTTTCAAGGATTAGGCATGGAGATGATTCTCACTTTCTCTCTCCTCTTCACAATATACGCCACCATGGTTGAGCCGGGAAAGCATATGGGCCATGGGCATGGCCCACTGGTTGTTGGACTTTTAGTTGGTGCCAATACGCTTTCAGGTGGGCTTTTCACAGGCGCTTCCATGAATCCCGCTCGCTCGTTCGGGCCGGCTTTGGTCAGCTGGAATTGGACCAATCACTGGCTTTACTGGGCCGGGCCTATGGTCGGTGGCGTACTTGCTGGATTTATCTATGAGCGGTTCATAATCATTAGGCCTTCTTCCTATGCTGTGCTGTCTACTGGAGTTGAGTCTGTTTGAGGGGAAATTATTAAGTTCGGATACCGGACGACGTTCAGAGTTCAAAAAAAATGCATCATATCACCTCCTACTTGGTACTGAGCTCGATATGAGCTTAAAACTTCATAGTACCGAGCAGTACAGAGCTCGGTACTGTGAAATACCAAACTCAATACTTCATAATACTAAGTTCAGTATTACTCGGTAATGTGAAGTACCAAATGGTAAGCTGTGTCCGGTGTTCGAACTCAATAATCTCTCCTATTTAAGTAGGCTATAGCTATTGTTACTCCAAATTTCTTGTATTTAATTTTCTTGTACTTTTTGGTTGTTATTATTCTTAAATGGTGACTGAAATCATAATTTACATTCGCACTATTAGAATGTAAGATGATGAATTTGATAATAGATAGAAATTTGATTTTAGTATTTTATGGGGTGTTGCAATCATCTGTAAAAAAATTGTTCTATAATAAAAATAGTATTTTTTTTTATTAATTCTTGGGTATCAGAGTTTTTTTTTTCCTTTTGTTTTGAAAATATGTTATTATATTTTTTTATAATTATCGACCTAATGAGTATGATTGCGAAAACTTAAAAAAAAAATGTTATAGCTAAATAAAAGTGTGACAGCTACCTTGAGAATAAAGATGTGGAACAATTGCTTCAGATTGTTCGTTAGACAACAAAATTTATGTAATGTTATTGAACTTTGAAAAACAAATCTAACAAAAAACCATTCTAAATAGGCTCCTAACAAGTCACGTAACTACATTTTGAAGTGAGAGAAGCAGTCATTTTCTAGTGGGAGAAGATTTTCAAAATTCTAATTTCCTGCTTTTCCGCGAGAAAACTCCGATGATGGAGGAAGAATGCCGGCTACCACCGGCGAACTATCCTCCTTCAACCTGTCATTCTTCTACCATCCCTCTTGGAATGGTTGGAAGATCTGGAAGTTCCAAAGATGAGACGAAGCCGATTGAAGCATCGTTGCAGAATGGTCGTCCAAGGAATTCGACATTGTGAATTCTTGAAGGGTTTCAGCCACCAGTTCAGCAAGATGCAGTTATCGAAGGCAAAGGGAAGACAATCGAAAACACTCAGGTTTTTTCAAAATCACCTAATCAGAAGATGTTAATTCTGGTTCAGGGGAAAAATGAGAGTGAAGCTTCATCATCTGGATTGAAGTTGAAGGTGAATAGATTTTTCAATCCCAATGTTGCTGAAAATATTGATATGGTTAATGAAGGCGAATTAAATCATGATTTGACCCTTGTTGAAAACTCTGAGCCTGTTATTTGTGGAAAAGGAATAAATTTGAACAGGCCTGCTATAATAGCAATGTTGAAGAAGGGAGAAAATCTGGCTTTATCTCAACAATTTTCTAACCCATGGATGTCAACTGCTCGTATGAAGGTAAATCCACAATTTACTTCTATTGAAATGTCTGATGATGGAATAGCAATCAAACTTAATGAAGACCTTGCAAATGCAAATGCTCTAATATTGAAGAACTCATTGGTGGTCAAAGTTTTAGGAAATAACATTCCTATTCCTGTTTGCTGCTGAGAATTAAGAAGACAATGGAGCAAATTTGGGTCATTCCATTTGACTTCATTGGGCTTGAACTGGATTTTATGTTCATTCTAGTCACAAGATGCTTTGGAAGGTGTGATGAGTGGAGGGCCATGGTATGTTGGAGGTTACATTGTGAGAATAGACAAATGGACTCCTAATTTCTCCCCTCTTTCATTAAAAGGATTATCCTCACCTATTTGGATCAGAATGCCTCATCTCCCTTTGTATTGTTGGGATGAGATGAATATTACCAAGATTGCTTCAAAGGTTGGTTTTCCTTTATTCCTTGATGGCAATATGTTCAAATGGGGAAGAAGAGAATTCGCTAGAGCTTGTGTGCGAATAAATCTAGATGAAAAATTGCCAGGTGGTATTTTGATTGATGGCATGGGAGGGAGATTTTTTCAAAAGAAAGAATATAAAAAAATTTCCTCATTTTGTTTTCATTGTGGAAAAACTGGACATAAAATCAATTTTTGTCCAACAAAGAAGGAAGAAAAAGAAAGGGAGGTTAGTAGTAATAATAATACTGGTACTCTTAATAAGGAAACAAAGGATATAGCAGTGGAAAATTCTCAAGCAGGCAAAGATGAGTATGGGCCATGGATTCATGTGGCTTTCAAAAACAGGAAAAGAAGAATGTTCAAAGTTAGAGAATCTAACTTAAAGGAAAAGCAAGATGATCAAATTGAAGCTGAAGTCCTTGCTAATTCAAATTAGATCAGGGAGAAGGAAGTACTTCACAATTCACCTACAGAAGTGGTGAATGTTAACAAATTTAGTGTGCTCCTGGAAAATTCTAAAGACAAAGAAGAGGGAGAAAGTGAAATGGAGGAGGAGGATAATCCAAATAACTTAAATCCTAATGTACAAAATCTGGAGGAATTGGGAAATGCGGCAATTAATAAAGATCAAAATTATGGATCAAAAATTTTAATTCCTGAATTTCAAATAGGAAATTATCTGGATAACAATTCTATGGATGGAAGAATATTGGAATTTGTTTCAGAACAGAATTCTGAAGATGGAGCTACAAAGACTGATATACAAATTGAAGTGATTACTATTTCAAATGAAGCAAAGAACAATTCTAGTAGTAAAAGCAAGACAAAACTAGCCAAAGAGATCAAGTTTCTTGGGCCGGTTGGTGGGATTTTGAGAAGAAGGAAATTAGAGGGTGGTGGTAATGTTGCTGCTGGGGGGCTATCCCCATTTGTTTCTTAATGTCTTCTTTTTTTCTCTGGAAATGTAGAGGAGTTCTAAAAAAAGAGGCTTCTCTTTACCTTCGGGAGTTGGTTAGAGATCATGGAGTTTTTTTCATTGGGATTGTAGAATTCATGCTGTCATGTTTAAATAGGGAGGATGTTGATAAAATTATTGGGGAGGAATGGGATTTTTTTCATCACCCGGCTAGTGGCACTTCAGGTGGTATTCTTGTTCTATGGAGGAGTCTCATGGGTAGTTTTGAGGTGTTATTTGATTCCTCTCAGGTGGTGTTTGGGAAATTCCAATCTTCTATTGATGAATGCTGGAATGTTGCTACAGTATATGGGAGTAAAGAAGTTGGGGCTATAAGAAGTTTGTGGAATAGCCTTGAAAGTTACTTGGATAGTAATGTTCCTACATTAGTAGGTGGGGACTTCAATTGTATTTTGTCTACTCAAGACAAAAGAGGGGGGAAGAGGTTCACCTTTTCCAGAGGCCCATAAGAGATGAAATCCTTTTTATCTAACAATGATTTGCATGATGTAGGTTATATTGGACCAATATTCACTTGGTGTAATAATAAAGATGGCAGCTCGAGGATATGGGAAAGATTGGATCGTTGTTTACTGAATTCAGTAGCGCTACAACAAGTTCCTAATGCTTATGTAAGTCACTTGGCTAGAGTGGCTTCGAATCATTCTCCAATTCTCTTTAATATACACCATACTAAGAGGCCAATTCAAAAATACATCAAATTTGATGACATATGGAGAAAGTACCCAGCGGCTTGGAATGTTGTTCTCAAAGCTTGGAGGAGGAAGGATTATGGAAATTCTGCTGAAATTCTGAACATGAAACTAAAAAAGATCACTCAAAGCATTGTATTATTGGAATAAGAACAAGGTTATGGAGCTTTCCACATTGAAGAACAACTTGAAGAAGGATATAATGGAAATGCATATGATAGAAAGTGAAGATGGCATTTCTAAAGAGGAGCTGATGTTACTAAGAAGCAAAGTAAGGGAGCTTAATGTAACTTTATCTAGGTTATCTATTTTGTGGAATCAAAAAGCTAAAACAAGATGGCTACAATAAGGTGATACTAATTCCAAGTTTTTTCATGATTATGCAACTACCAAGAGAAATGGTAACCTAATTAATCAAATCAAGGATGAATAAGGAGTCATGGTGAATGAACAAGAACAAGTTGAAGCAATTTTTACTAATTATTTCCAAAACAAGTGGAGACAGAGAATCTGCTCTATGTCAGATTGGCCAGAAAAGGGAGATCAGCAAGTTGTAAATGATGCTGAATGGAATCTACTGAATGTAGACTTCACCCATGAGGAGATGCATGAGGCGGTAAGGAGCTTGGGAAACAATAAGTCTCCTGGTGTGGATGGCATAACTGGATCTTTTATCAAGTTCTATTGGAACATAATCAAGGATGAAGTTTGGAGAGTTGTTGATGAATTCTTCACACATGGAAAAATGCATTCTCAATGGAAAGACACATTAATTGTGTTAATCCCAAAGGTAAAGATTCCAATGACTTCATCACAATATAGACCAATAAGCTTATGTGAAACAATATACAAGGTAATTGCAAAAATGCTTATGAATCGTATCAAATTTTGCTTGCCTAAACTAATCACAGAAGATCAAGTTGCTTTTGTTCCGGGGAGATCTATGTTGGACCATTGCTTATTGGCTCAAGAGGTCTTCAACAAATTCAAATTTTCAACTTGTAAAAAAGGACTTATGGTGATAAAGGTGGACATGGAGCAAGCCTATGATAGCATGTGCTGGCCAACTCTTGAAAAATCTTTGAAAAGGTTTAGTTTCCCTCCTAAAATTATTATACTTATCATGGAATGTGTCCAAAAAGTTAGATATTCTATTTTGATTAATGGAATAAGAACTAATTGGATAGAAGCTGGAAGTGGGTTCAGGCAAGGATGCCCATTGTCCCAATACTTATATATTATTTGTACACAACTTCTTTCTAATTCCATTCATCAAAGGGGCAATGATTTGGGAATCAAAATCTCTCCAAAATCTAAAAATATTACACATCTTCTTTATGCCGATGACGCCTTGATTTTTTCTAAAGCAACCTTGGGAGCAGCTTATTGTTTAAAGAGCATCTTAAATAAATTCTATGGATGGACCGGCCATGGTGTAAATCATTTGAAATCTCAAATTCTACTTGGGAAATCAGTGAAAAGGAAATTAAAGAAAAAAATTTCTTAAAAATTGGGATTCATGATTGTTAAGGAGATGCATTATCTTGGAATCAAAATGGCTTTGAGAAGATTGGTAAAAGCTGATTTCAGAATTTTATTAGACCAAGCATTGGAAAGGCTTAATGCTTGGGGTAAAAGGCACTTATCTTTATCGGGTAGAGCTTTACTCATCAAAATCTCGTTTCTTTCACTTCCTATTTTCTTGGCAATGCATTCTTTGGTTCCCAAAAGAATTTTATATGATTTGGATAGAATGTGTAGGGAATTCTTATGGCATAATGATAAAGACAATAAAGGCTTACATTATGTATCATGGGAAGAACTTTGTAAACCAAAATCACTTGGAGGATTTGACCTTCATTCATCGGTTAATAAAGTTGGTCCTTTGAGATCTAGACT